GTTATCAAAAAAAATCTTATTTCCATTTTAAGTTGCCTTGAATCTTGTNATTATAATTTGCAAGTTGTTATCAAAAAAAATCTTATTTCCATTTTAAGTTGCCTTGAATCTTGTTCAAACAATTTTCGACGTCAACATACATCTTGTAAGGTCGGGCATATTTCGTGAAGAAAAGTCAGCACAGATTTAGTACAGTGGTGGAGATTCAGTTTAATATTGTACCTTTGGGATTTTGTTCAGGGTCCCAAACAAGCCCTTCTCTTCCTTGACTAGCAACAGCTCCCGCTAAAGCAGTTGCAGGATACTCTGCCAGTAGCTCATCATCCGTCCTAGGATCGCCTTTTCGCACAACCTCCATGGACACTTTGTATATGCAAAAGTTAGCATAGAGATGGAGTCTCTGTTGGCTGATGAGGGAAGGCTATTCCATTACAAGTCTTTCGTCTCTCTCGGGGAGGCGTTAGAGTGGGTTTATAACAACTTATCTTGAAGAATACTACTAAGTCGAGTTGTGAGGATATGGGTAATTGCGCTTTACCACCATTACCTATAGTTCCATCGTATTCAACTGCTAGGGATAGACCTATTTAAGATAGGTACGTGGATGCTGATTTGGTTGCACATGTTTTTGGGGTTTTTGAAGGTGTTGAGACTAGCCAGGGACCTTCTATGAAAGCATTGGGAGTTGATTTTACTACAAGGTGTGCTTTGACACTGTTTGGTAATTTCTAATTCTTTATGAACTTTGGGAAACTCAGTATTTGGGTTTATGTATCTGTGTTGGATACAGTGGAAGATGATGAGTATTTTTGTGTTGGAGAAAGATTGGTTCTTTTTGAAAAGTTCGAATTTTTTCGTAGCGGTCGGATTTATTTTTCTAGGTGGAGAAATCTTAGAGTTTTGTTCGTTGCATCGGAATTTATGTCAATGTGGAGATTGTTGAATTTTTTTTACCCAAATTAGGTTGGATTTCTTGATAAAATATTTTTTTCTTCTTTGCAAGTGTTTTTATTGGAAAATATTGTTTCCTTTATTTAACATGATTTTGATTTTGTTTTCATATTTGTGGTATTTCAAGGGTTGGACAATCTCAACGATAGCAAGGAAAAAATATTTTTTTTTGTCAAATGAATAGTAACTTGTGAACATTACAGATGAACAAAAATATCTATTAAGAGTTTTCAAATTTGTTTGAGAAGGAATATCATTTTCTCTTATGCCAAATTAACGTAGAACACAATTGATCAAGAAAGAGAGAGAGAGAAAATAGAGAGAAAATGTCATTCTATTCAATATTAAAGTTTAACTATTACAGTGCATAAATTCACTTATACACGTTTCAAACTAGTCTAAATTAAGTAAGAAATATTAAATCTATTAAATCAAATCTTAATTATGTTTTCTAAATAAGCGTCAATTTGAAAATTAAACATTTAATAAAGTACTAAACCATAATTGTATTTCCTAAAATAAGTACCTAATTTAAAAAGTAAATTAAATATGATATCTATTAGGATTGCCATTACTTTTCTTCTCGACCAAAGCATGAAAGAATTTAGTATTTGTATCCCCTCACTTAGTGCTGGGCAAAACCTAACCCAAATCGCTCAACCTGCCCAACTCAACCCAATCCAAACCGATCGATTTGTGTTGGTTTTTAAGTTCAATTGTATTAGATTGGGTTGAAAAATAAAATTTGGGTTGGGATTTGGGGTATGAATTAAAATCCAACATAAGCTAGTCCAACCCAACGCAACCCAACCCGATAAATTAAAGAAATTAATATTTGAAATAAAAAAAAAAATTAAATAGACACAATGGTGAAGATAAGAGAACTCATAATTTATAAACTTCTATTTTTTTTTTCACATAAACTGATTGACATGAATATTATGCACAAATGCAATTTTATTTAACTATAAAATAAAAATTAATGACATGATAAAATGCATGAATCCGAAAAAATTGTAAAAAAGAAAATACTTCATAATTTTAAATTTATTTATACGTTATTTTCCAGAAAGAATTCCTTATGTGCGTTAAAAAAATAAATGAAGGTTTTCAAGTAATTTCAAACTTTAAAAATGGTCTAAATTCAACAACAACAAAAATCGAATTCAATTTTTATTTGGCCGAAACCCAAACCGACCAACCCAAACTTGGGTTGGGTTGGCAACCATGTTGAGTTGAGTTTAGGTTGGGGATAAAACCAACCCAACCCAACCCAACTCATGCCCACCCCTACCCTCACTAACCAATTTCACACCTGCCTTTTGTTTCTAGTACTCTTTAACAAGTAACTAGTTTAATGAAGTGTAGGCTTTATGGAGATCATATATCTTTTCTTCATCAAGGGTTTTATTCTTTGCCTCCAA